CATTTTTTTTTTTTTGCCTAAGGGTTTTCTGTGCGGCTTAAGGGCCTAAATATGCAATTATATATCTATCAATTTCTCATGGTTATGAAAGGCCATGTTAGCACCTACATTGTGAGGCTTACGTGAATAATTACATGGCATTTAGGACTATTCTCAACTAATTATTGTAAAAATAAAATCTTAAACACCCTAAATTATCGGGTAGTATTCATATTCCTAATTAAGCTCATAGTTTTGGATAAAATCTATTTAGACCGCCCTATTTACATTTCAATGAAGAAATATATGTATACCATTTGTAAACTGTTAACATTAATGCTGTTTTTACAATTTACAATTTTAATTATAATCACTTAGCGGTAAAAGTTCAATGAAGTCCATAAAATAATTAATCTAGAAAAGGTTGAAAGTAATCTTAGATAAAACAAAAACTAAGCTCAATATGTGTGTGTGTGTACGCAACAGAAAGAAAGAGTTATAATTAAATTCTCAACTTAGTAAATCATCAGTTATTGGTAAACTTTATTGATTATATTTAATTAAGTAGCGTATGAAGGAAATAATAAGTTTCTCTTCTTTAAAACATAAAAATTGTAACCTAATTCCCAACAAGGCATCTTTTATTACTTAATTAAATAACCCATTCGCTTCACCAAACAGCCTACTTAAAAGGCTTTACCGTACGTTATTGTTTATCGTCAAGTACGTAGCTAGCAACTCATTTGGCTTTTTTGACGCTTGTGTTAAGTCAGAAACAAAAAAAAGGTGTTTGCTTCACTCTAACTGCAATTGCAATTTGAGTTCTGATGATCCCATCAGCTACAGTGGATTGATTTTGATCTTGTAGTTTTTTTTCTTTTGATGCTCTTGTTTGTGATTTTTCTCGTTCCATATACTGTGCTTTATCGGGATTTTGCAAGTTGTAAAATTCCCACCACTTGGAATCGGAGCGGCATACTTGTTGTGATTTTTGGAGCTTGTAAATAATCTTGAAAAAGCAATCACAAAATAATAATCAATCCACTTTCACCAACAAAAGTTGCACTCTTTGTCCGTCCAAAAGATCGTGACTTCTTTAGTGCTAGTGAAACTGATTTTGATCATGTATAGCATTTTTTCTCCTGCCTGAGAGTTTCCACGGCCTAATTCTTGTTAGATTTTTCTTGCTGCTTATCGTGCTCCTCGGTTATAAAAAAGCCCCTCAACAATAACTACATATGTAATTATCACAATTGTTATTGTTCTGTAGTTGCAGTCGCTTGTTCAATTTTAAAACTTTGAATTTTGCAATGGTAGTTATAGTTGTAGGCGTTTATCTTGAGCATCAAAATTTTAAGAAATTTGTTGAGGACTGGTTGCAACAATAAAGCTATAACATAAATAAAAGTTTACAGCTCAAAAGGGTGAAGCAAACGGCCATAACTGATTCAAAAAATTTTAAGTTGCATATATATAGTTACAAAAACATAAAACTAACTCCTAATTAACCATCGAACGCCTTAGTGCAGTGACCACTACTACTTTTTACAGAAAGCCCCACAAAGTTTCCCACCCCTATTCATCTCTCTCTCTCTCTCTCACTCATCAGTTGAGGAATTGCATGATCAATTTGGATCAAAACTGAAAAAGGAGCTAGTTCTGAACCGACCATTTTGGATCGTACATCTGCCCGGCCCGGCCCGGCCCGACTTACGGAGACAGATGCAAACATGTATCAATCAATTTGGATTGAGGCATCTCTCTCTGAAAAAGAGAGCATGAGATTCGCACATGCCCAAATCCCTAAAGTTAATATTGTTATCACTATTTCAGTTAGCATCTCAATTTCTTTTCTGTAGATTGAAGCAACTGTTCTTAGAATGATTGATATAGTACAGGTTATGTTTAATTGGTTAAAAGGTAAAACTTCATGAAATTATCATGAACTTTGGAGAGTTTTTAAAAACCTATCATAATTGTTTTTTAGTAGAGAAAACGGTCATGAACCTTAAACACTGTATAAAAAAAGGGTTAGTTGCAAATAGACCCCTTTAGTATCACCCAATGCCAATAGACCTCATCTATTTCAATTTGTGGAGAATAGGCCCCCTATAGTACTGGCACAATTGCCAACCCATAGGGTTGGTTGTTCCTTTATATATATTTTTGGTTAAGCTAGCTATTTCTTTAGCCCTTTAGGTCGTTATTTGTTCCTTCAACCATTTCAGTCTGTCGTTAGTTGCTAACAAAGAAAAAAGGCTATAGGTCTTCGGCTCGTGGGCCTTTTGGCCCATTGAGAAACAAAACGACGATGTTTAAGCTCGTTCCTGTCTACTTGGAAGAATTAAAAATTAATATTAGTTTAAAAATAGTTTATACAAGTTTAAATTACTAAAAAATAAATTAGAAATAATTTTATAATTATATATACAAGTTTAATATAATTAAAAGGGTAAAAGAAATAGGAAAAAAGTTGGATGAAAAACCCATGGGCTGACCTAATTAGATCCACAGGCTGTGGGGGTGGGTCAGACCTGACCCACACTTATGCGGGTCATGGACCGAGCTGGGTCCAGTCTCAGACCCAGGATAAGAGAAATATGTTAGGCACACTCTAACCCGGCTAGGTTCGGATCAAAACCGACCCGGCAGCGGGCCGAGTCACGGGCCCATGCCCACCCCTGCCAATGCACCCCTTAGTGGACTTTATTGACTCTTAAAAAAAAGTAAAAAAGTTAACAATTGAGGGTCCATCCCCACCAATAGAACTACAAATGGTTTATTTGCTTTCTCAAAACTTTTCTAATAATTTTAAATGTCCAAATAAAAAGAAATTACCAAGGGGGTCTATTCATAAAGTAGAATTGTAGGGGTGTGTTCGCAATTGGATGATATTACAAGGGGTTTGTTCGCAATTAAACATGATGAAATATTGAAACTTATTGTTAACAATGTTAACGTTTTGATATTTGAACTGTCTTTACTTTTATTATTGTCTCATTAGAGCTTGTGATGATAGAACAGAAGATATGTAAAGTATAGACGTATAGGATTAATTGTTCAAAATATGTAGCATGAGAAACACATAATAAATTATTCTATCGATGTGCATAATTATTTAGTAAAAAGACTCATGATAGTTTTCTTGAATAAGATGTTAGTTTTTGTCACTTTTATGAAAATTTCCAAATTTCATGATAGTTCATGATAGTTTTGTGTAATTTAGTATTAAAATAATGTAGCGCTGGAATATTTAGTATCAAAATTCCCAAATTCCAATACTAACGAAGTAACGACTTAGAATGTGTTCTAAATTGATTTAAGATATATTTCCATCCTCATCCTAATCAAGAATCTGTGGGGAATGACAAAGATTTAAAGATTACAAAAAAACATGATAGTACCATGCATTTCTAATCGCATTTGGCCAGAGAAGGTAAAAACAGACAAAGAAAAGATAAAACATTGCTTTCTAACAGTTAATATATTATGATTTTGGGTTGTTAAAATGCGGCACCAGCTGATGGGCACTCAAAATAAAGATAGCAACATATTTGGATGATTTATCTAAATTATTTGATCATACATATATGTCCGACAATGTTTAAAAAGTAAAAATAAAATCTATTGTGTTGTCCCTTCTAATTTCATACCAATAAGATCTACGAGCACCGCTTCTTTTTGTTCCTCATCGGTCATCAAAGAACAGTTTTCGTGGCAAACGCTGGATCAAATATAAGACATATACTCTAGAATTACTTGGGGATTATTTCCTTCACACTATGGTTAATGTATTTAATGTTAGGGTTTTTTTATATTTTTAGATACCAATATACCTTTTATCTAAAACGGAAAAGAAAAGAAAATTGCAAGGGTGACTATATGATGACATGTGCATGACATCATGGTGAAGCCTATGAGACATGCCATGGCCTACACATCATGCATGCTCAAGGCCCAATGGGCCACGGGCTCACCTTGACCACTGCACCTTTCCGCAGGTGACTCCCTTTTGAAAGATGCCACTCATTTGAATGCCAAAGAAAATGATAAAAAGCAAAAGCCAACTCTCACTCCCCACTGTAAAATTTTGAGTGCTAGAGAGAGAGAGAGAGAGAGAGAGAGAGTTTCCTTCAAGTCCTCGAGCTAATGATGGCACCTCAATTTGACTTGAGAAGAGACAATATCATCATAGGAATAGTTCATGGACTCCTCTCTGGCATGGGGTCATTCTCTATTTATCAGCAGAAAAGAGGATACGCTATTTGGTATCTTTTCAAGACTTAAAACACCTTTTTCAGCGTCTAATGTACCAGTTTTTTTTTTTTTTAAAGATTTATCTTCTCCTTTCCTTTTAGGGTGTTTTCTTAGGAATCACCAACAGAATCATTATATACAAATCACATCTAATTTTCATTTTACACATGAACCTTTTTAAAGGATATTTTTTTTTTATAATCAACCACCTGATATAATTTTTTCGATAATTAAACTCACCAAACCTTTATTAAGGACCATCTCTCCAATACGCTTTGTATTTAACATCAAGTTATTAAAGCAAAACTGGGAAAAAAAGATTTTTTTTTTTTTTGAGTTAAAAGTGAGTCCATGTAGCCGATTGCAATGAAAAAACATTTAAAAGCGGTTCATATATAAATTAACAATCGCCGGTGGTGATTTCTATAGGATGACATCAATTTCTGGGGAGGGGCAAAAAAGGAAAAAGAAAAAGAGAAGAACCATTCTTTCTATCGTCTGTTATATGTTGTGGGAGTCGTGACTTTATAAATCCTCTTGGATTCAACCTTTAGGTATACCTCAGCTTCACCAAAGATCTTCAATCCTCTTTAGATTCAACCTTTAGATGCACCTCAGCTTCACCATAGATTTTCCAAACTTACAGGCTTCTACAAAATAAATAAATTTTAGACCAAGGGCTCTGTGATCTTAGAACTGTTTTCAACTGCAAAAAAGTTCCAAGGTCCGAAAAACAAATGAACTAGCAGTATTACCAACAAAGGTGCAAAAACTTTGCAAGCCTAGCTACAACTTTCATTAGGAACGCTCTTAATTAAATATATAAATAAATACAAGAAGATCAGAGTTCTCAAAACATCTGAATATTTTTCCTCGTTTAGAGAGCCGGCATTCCATCAAAATACAATAAAATTGACGTTCCCCAAAGCTTTCATATAGCCATCATTGTGATATCAGTAGTATTCATCATACTCGGAATACTTTTCCTCGTTTTGAGGAGAAGCACCGATATTCCACTCAATATCTTCGTATTCATTCAAATCGGTAGTGTCATCTCCTTTCCACTCATCTCCATTCCACTCGTCTCCATTCCAGTCATCAACTTTCCCAGCACCGGGCACTTCCTCAAATTCGTTCGCTTCCTGCTCTTCTTTCTCAAGTTGATCTCTTGCTTCCTGGGTGTCATAATAGACAAGCAACAAAGGCAAAGTCAAAAAACTTCTAGATCTTCACATTATTATACCTTTTTTTTGCATTATTTTTCAGGTAAATTTCCCAACTAAATAAATTTGACAAAAATCTTTTAACTTTCAAAATTATACGAAACCCCATGTACTATTGGAATTGTGATAGATGATGTAAAGGTAAAGGAGAAAAGGTCTAAACTACCCAGATCAATAGCTAACTCGAAGTGATAAGCTCTGGTAAAAATAGAAACTGCATTTGTAAAATTAACCTACACATGTCATGTACTAAGCATGTGACAACCTAGCCTAACTGTCATCGGTCGTGATATTCTAGTGAAACAAGTTTTTTTTTTTGTGGTGGTGGTGGTGGTGGTGGTGGGGGTTGTTAATTACCCTTGTCTTATTTCATGCTCATGGAACATTCCTTGATGAAGATATAAGAGTTCAAGTTTGTTAAATTACCCTCGTCTTATTTCAAGCTCATGGAACATTCCTTGATGAAAAATATAAGAGTTCGAGTTTGATTGAAAGAGTATGATAAGGGACCTTATTTGCATCAGCGGTCTCCTGTGGTATACTTGTAGGTTCGTCATTTGCATCATCCTGTCTGGATTCCTCCTCTGCCTGAGCTTTCAGCTGCTGGATGACCGTTTCGAAATGTGAAAGGTCTGCATAAACATAACAAAGATATGTCAATGTTTCAGGTGCCAGTCACATTGGAACTTCTACCACCAAAGTAAAGCAGAAAAATCAGGGTGGAACAAAGCAAAAAAAGGAGACAAATTCTCATGTAAAGATGCTTTCACAGAAACTTCCATCAGCCAAAACTTACCTGACACAAAAAAGGTCATTCTTTCTTGCCCATTTGGCCATTTCAATGGAAAAAGGCTGGAACGATGATGATAGTCATATCCATGTTTGATCGTGTGACTCAATTCAGTAAACATAAAACAGTTTACTTTCACCACATATACATAAATTTAGAATAATCAATGACATGATTAATGAAGGACAGAGATGAAAAGACAGCCATAGCCGCCAAATTCTCCCAATATGTTAATCTTCACAAATCATTTCTATAAGCTATTCAATGTTACACATGGATATCTCAGATTCTTTTTTAATAAATCATACACAGTACTTAATTTAGGCATTTCATTTCCTTGATGAAGATTTTTCTGCTCTTTCCTTCAACGTAATTGCCAGCATCTGTCAATTCTCCATCACTTTGTTCAACTCAATACACCAACAAATACAATTCTCCATCACTTTGCTCAACTCATACACTTCCAAATACAATTCAATCCTCAGAGATGTGCATACTTACCATAGTTAAAGACAATTGAGATCTAAGTTAGATGAATACAGGTGCAGTGATGTTTATGGGACACGACTAATTTGTAAAAGAGTACAGGGACAAAACAGTTTACTTTCACCACATATACATAAATTTAGAATAATCAATGACATGATTAATGAAGGACAGAGATGAAAAGACAGCCATAGCCGCCAAATTCTCCCAATATGTTAATCTTCACAAATCATTTCTATAAGCTATTCAATGTTACACATGGATATCTCAGATTCTTTTTTAATAAATCATACACAGTACTTAATTTAGGCATTTCATTTCCTTGATGAAGATTTTTCTGCTCTTTCCTTCAACGTAATTGCCAGCATCTGTCAATTCTCCATCACTTTGTTCAACTCAATACACCAACAAATACAATTCTCCATCACTTTGCTCAACTCATACACTTCCAAATACAATTCAATCCTCAGAGATGTGCATACTTACCATAGTTAAAGACAATTGAGATCTAAGTTAGATGAATACAGGTGCAGTGATGTTTATGGGACACGACTAATTTGTAAAAGAGTACAGGGACA